CTTCAATAGGAAGAAATATTGCATGGAATTCCTTTTGGTTTTGGCCAGCTGACTCAATGGACTTTGGCTGAGGCCGGCAGAGTTCAGGGAAGAACCTGAAGGAAGAGGTTAGTCCAGGGTGTGGAACCAGCCACAGCCTGGACCTCACGAGAGGAAGGTCTGAATGCCCACTCTCCAATTGTCCTCCCACATGGCCTTGGCCTCCCATAATCTGGGAAAAGTCACACAGCCTGCCTGGGCTTTAGTTTCTAACCTGTAAAACAACAGCAAAAGCACTTGGTCACCAAAGTCACTCTTGGTTATTGAAGGAAAGCTGCCGTGCCTGCAGCGAGGCTGCCAGCAGCCTCTTCTTACCCTCTGTTAGCAAGGGGGTTGAACTAAATGATCTCTAAGGCCCTTTCTTACCCAAACCATTCTGTGACTCTGTGATCCTCTGAACTTTGTGGTGGTTAGATGGGAGTGGGGCTCTTTCATGACGTGGACTGAGTGTGCGTACGACAAGAGGTGAACAAAAGTGTGCTAAAAAAATTAATTTCCATTCCTAGTTCCCATACCCTGAGAGTTACTTTAATCCTGCCCTTCTATAATTTTTTTTTCATAACCAGAATTTCTTCAGTAAGAAGAAGTTTTCTGAAAAGGCATACTAGTTACTGACTGTGTGAGGAGAAGCAAGGCCAGCTGCTGTGCATCTCATGTGCCTCCCTCACATGCCCAGTTAAAACCTTGCTTTTCTAGGAAATATCTGGAGATCATATGCTTGGTGAGAGAAAACATGTGTTAAAGCACTCCCAGTTCTAAAATTGCCCTTTCCAAGATTTTTGGCAAGGGGGAGGGGGAAGGCATTGTGCATCAACAGCAAAATGGCATCTGGGTTGAAAGATAAGGAAAAAGCAAAACCCAAGGAGGTTTTCTGATGAGCTTTGGACCTGGCAGAGGGGCAGAGCTTGCATTGGCACAGTAGGAGAACACAGAGATCATTCTTTGACTTCAGAAATGCTTCTAGAGACCCTAATTTGTCTGCAAATCAGCAGATTTTGGGTGCAATTTAGCAGAGCATTCAAAAACATGAGCCGAATGTGTGAGCAATCCTCGTTGCAGAAGGGCAACTCACAGATTTAAAAATCACACACTGCTAGCCTGGGACCAGGATAATCTCTCCACCCCTTGAGCATTTAACCCCTAAATATAGTCAAACTCACAGCAAAGTGTTAACTGAGAGTTACAATTGGAAAACTTCCATGTCTCGAGGAGAACTGCATACTGGAAATTTTATCCACATGCACATTGATGAACAAGGGAACTCACAAGCAAAATTCCACTTCAGGCCGATTTTTACAAGGAAAAAAAAATGCAGAGTAGCCAGATTTACCAGAACAGTCTTTACCCTCAGGACAGGCCTACATGCAAACAATTTGCTATAAAGTAATGCCAATTAGTAGAATGACTTTTTTCTCTGAATGGCAGTGGCTTTTTGAAAGATTCAGACACAGTGGGGAAAAAGCACAAACCTTTCATGGGCACACATTGTGTTCGTGAGCTCTTCTCCATAAGAAGGATTTGGGGGGCTCACTGTGCAGCTGAGAGCATTTCTGGGAGAGCCCTCATGACTGTGCCGTGTAAAAGTGAGAAGAGTTTTTGGTAGAGGTGATCTCTCCTCTTAGCCAGCTTACTGAGCTGGTCAGAATAGAAAAGCTTTTACTTATACAGGCCCTTCTTTAAAGTCTTAACATATTTTGCAAGGAAGCACACTTTTCCCCTTTCCCCCCCCCAAACCACTTACCTGTATTTTATCAGAAATACAAGGCTCTCTTTTCTCTGAGAACAACTTCAAAAATCTAATTTTAAGCAGGTTGTGAGCAAGCTACTGCACCTGTGCAAAGGGCACGGAAAAGATACCAGTTATACACGGCAATTCTGATTTCTCGTGTGGTCCTGACGCAAACAATTCAGCTGCATGCTGCATTGTATGATAAAATAGGGATCAAACACCAACTGTGTGTGTTCACATTGTCATCCCCCCCCAACCCCTCGCTGTGCAAAAGCTCTGTCCAGCTCGTGCTGAATTCAGTGAGTTCCTGTTGGTGGTTTTGACACGTATGGATCAGGCCTGGGGTCCTGTGCTTGAGAACGCTGCGGCACCTGCAAGCAGAACAAGAACTTTTTACTTGGGGGGTTCATGAACCTTTGAGGAACAGGGAGAGGCCCTTCAGAAAGCGGACTGTGATTCACGGAGTGGCCGTGGATGTGTTTCTGTGTGGCTCCAGGGGAACCCGGAGCCACGGGCTTTTGAAAAGCAAACACAGGTGCAGTTTTGGGATGAAATGGAGCGTGTCCTCCCCACAGAGCCCCTTGTGTCGCAGCTTGTCTCCATCCCAGTCCTCGTGGAGCACACACGGCACCGGGAGACACAGCAAGGCTCACACGCGGCCAAGTGCCTGGGACAAACTCTCGAGAGGAGCAGAGCTGCTCCTTCTGAGCAAATGGGACCTAAAAAACCTGATTGAGCCTCGTAAGAGGCAGTGCTGCCCTCACACCATCCCCTCTGTGCTGGGCACTGCTGAGGTCACATCTCAAAACCTGTGTCCAGTTCTGGGCCCCTTCCTGCAGGAAGGACATTGAAGTGTCCAGGGAAGGGCAACAGAGTAGGAGAAGGGTCTGGAGCACCAGTCCTGTGAGGAGGAGCTGAGGGAGCTGGGGGAGCTCAACCTGGAGAAAAGGAGGCTCACGGGAGACCTTATTGCTCTCTCCAACTCCCTGACAGCAGGTTGTAGCCAGGTGGGGGTCGGGCTCTGCTCCTGGGGAACAAGGGACAGGACAAGAGGAATTGGCCTCAAATTCCTCCAGGGGAGGTTCAGGAGGTACGTGAGGAATAATTTCCTCACTGAAAGGGTGGGCAGGCATTGGAAGGGGCTGCCCAGGGAGCTGGTGGAGTCCCCATCCCTGGAGGTGTTCAAGAAGCAACTGGATGAGGAACTCAGTGCTCTGGTTTAGTTGACAAGCTGGTGATCAGTCAAGGCTGGACTCCATGATCTTGGATGTCTTTTCCAACCTTAATGATTCTGTGATTCCATACTCTCAATGCAAACATTTGTATTCAAGGGTCCCGGCAGAGCTGTCAGAAAACCAAATAAATCCTCTTTTTTTTTTTTTTTTTGTTTGTCTCAGGTTAACTTCAGGATCTATTTTAATTCTAACTGAACAAAAGCTTATTTCATTTCTAACTAGCATTCCCTATTGCAGTATTTCTGTTTCCTCGTGGGTGGGAGTCCTGTCTGTACCCATAAACTGGGATTAGGTGGGCAAGATTTTTCATCATAAGACTAAAACATTTTTGACATTCTACTCCTTTTTTCTGTTTGCTTGCTTGACTTCACCCTTTTCCTTACCTCCTAAATGAAAACAGAAATGGAAGGTATTAAAAAAAATGGAAGAGGAAGTTTTCAGCTTCTGAACCAAAACAAAATAGAAACCTTTTGCTCTCCATGCAAAATCTTGCAAAATAAAGATACATTGAAACTGAAATTTTAAGTTGTCCCTTTGAGATACCTAACATCAGAAAAACTAACAAATAGCAGCTTAAAAGTCTCTAATTTTTTTTCTGTAATTTTTTTTCCCCCAACAAAATGAATTGGCCAGTGGGAATATAAATGAAAAACATTCCAGGGCATCCTACATCACAGGGTCTCCAGGAGGCTGGCCTTTCCTAGCCTAAGGAGAGGGACAAAATTCTGATCATCTGCGAGATGCTGCCCTTTCCCACCCTGCTACCAAAACAGAAAAAAACCCACCTCTGGCATTTATAAATAGAACAGTGAGGACAATCTGTTACCCCCCAGGATTGTGGAGAGGTGGAAGAAGTGAGTTTCAGCTGGGAGACTGCTCTCAACTTTAATTACGGAGAACTTAAGCCCTCAGTGGCCTGATTTTAATACAAAACAATTAACCAGCTCTAGTTGAGCCAAAGTGGGTCCAGGTTGACTTGAAAGGTTAATGGATCTTCAAACTGTTTCAAAAAAAGACTTAGATGGAGTCTCGGGGCTGGGACGAAACATGAAACCAGGCCTCTTTGGTGTGGCTTTGGGTTTGTTACAAACATCTTGCAGGGCTGGAAAACTGCTTTTGATGACCAGCCCAACTTCCCTTTCCTCAGCTTAATCCCAGTTTTCCTGATTGCACTCTTTTGCCCCACCCCAAAGTGAATGTTCTCTTTCACCAATGCTCATGCTTTCCAGATCTTTACTCTGGTTTTTTTGTGGGTTTTTTTTTTGTTTGTTTTTGTCATGGCCTTTCTGTCAGTTCATAGCAAAGCCTTGCACCTTCAAGGCAATTTCCTCAAAGGTCACTTTTCCAACCCTTTCAGTCATTTCAGATGTTCTCTCCTGATTTTCCTTTTGTATGACAATACCTTCCACCTTTCAAGCAGCTTTCCCGATTTTACTCTGGTGCTACAAGAAGTGGCAGTTCCCTTTTAGCTCTGCAAAGGAATGCCTCAGTATTTGCCTTTGTTAAACGCTGTGCCTTTCCAAAGTTTTAGTTCGTTCCTGGGTCTGATCAGGTATTGCTCCTTTCTAAGTTTCTTTTCCCCTCTGTATATCACTGTTCAGTACCAGCATTCCCACAGCACACTAGCTTTTATTTTATGCTGTGATTTTCATTTTGCAGTTTTCTGCCAATATTTTATGTCTCCATCTCCCCAGCAAAGATGGTATCTCTCTTTGCTTACTGGTGTTTGCATTCCCTCCAAATTCAGCTGCAAATTTAGCTGCAAATTTAAGTTGTTTGCTGCTTGGCCCTGCTGCTATTAACAAAGAGTAATGAAAATATTAACTAACACACAGTATATCAGCTTAAATTATCCACTACCTTGATTTAGTTATGGAGCTTTCTATTCTTCTGTTTGCAAATTATTTCAGGGAGGGGGGGAATGCAAGTGCAAAGATCTGGGCAAATCTTCTGCTTTTTGTAAAATTAGCACAGGTCTAGTCAACTCAACCTATTGATTTAGGTAAGGATATGATCTTTACATTTCTCTTTATTTCAGGCAGTTTTCAGAGCTACACAGTGAACAATATGTAGAAATATTTCAGCTTTTGTTCCAACCCCCTGCCATGGGCAGGGACACCTTCCACCAGCCCAGGTTGCTCAGAGCCCCATCCAACCTGGCCTTGGACACTGCCAGGGATGGGGCAGCCACAGCTTCTCTGGGCAACCTGTGCCAGGGCCTGCCCACCCTCCCAGGGAAGGATTTCTCCTTGATATCCAATCTAAACCTGCTCTCTGTCACTTTGAAGCCATTCCCCCTTCTCCTGTCACTCCAGGCTCTTGTAAAGTCTCTCCCCATCTTTCATGTGGGGTCCCTTCAGGCACTAGATGTTGCTGTGACTCCACACAGCTCGTTTAACTGCTCCAAGAACAGCTTGCTCCTTGCAGCAGAAGCATTATCCCAAAAGCGTCCCTCAGGAAGATGTCACCAGTCGGGAAAGCTTTCCTCGCTGACTAGCCGGGCCGTGGTCATAATGATAATCATAAATAGCATTGTGCATTGGTTCAAAGTGCAGATGAGTTTTCCACGCTGGAGTGAACAGCTGTCCTGCTGTGCTTTGCTCCGCCGGTCATTTAAAGAGGAAAAGGAAATGTCAGCGACTCAGAAGGCTGAGCTCCATCTCCACGAGAGATTAGGTATATACCAGTCACTGGAGGCTGTTTGGGCTTAGTGCTCAGATGTGTCCTTTTCTGAAAATGGCCTTGAGTAAAGCGTGATTAAAGGCAAGTGACCTGCTGCAGAAATTAAGAAACCTTGGTGTGCTCCCCCAGTTGTAGCGTGCAGCTCCTCTCCCCTGCCCATCTGCAACAGGAATGCTTTAGTTTCAAATTCCCTCACTCTAACTGCAGTTTGGTTGGCACTCAGGGTGGGAGGGTTAACGCTCAGGGCTGCCATAACTCAGTCCCCCTTGGTTTTGTCTCTGAATTCTTCGGCTTCTCAGAGGGTCTGGCTCTCGTGAAAGCTTCAGCTTCAATCCATATGTGTTGAAATTTCCGTATCCTGAGAAGTGGAAATGTTCAGGAGGGTCACAGTGTCTTTAGGGACATTCAGCACTCTGCAGCAATCTACCCCAGTAAATCCTTCTGCAGGCACACGTTGTGCAAATAGTCCATTACTATTCTGAAATACAGTGCACATTTTCATATGCAATTATTTCATGTTCCCATCTTTCTGAACACTGAGAATGCAGTGATACTTTTCTTGTTCTGTACCTTTTCCACAAAGGAGAAGGGGCTGCATTTCTTCTCAACAAGGTTATTAGGAAGAAGGTATCAACAGGGCATTCCACTACTTGAGAGTTTGGGAAAGCAGTGCTTAGCAAGCAATGAGTTTAATTACAATTGTGTAATTAAATTAATTACATTTTGCTAAAAGCCTGAAAAAGCTGTCAGCCACCACAAATGATCCTTGGTTGCTTGGTCTGAAGAACAGAAGCTGCTCTTAAATTTTTTAGGAAGTGGAAAATGCTTCAAGCTGACTTACACAAATCATGCCAGGTAGCAGACCTCAGGTTGCTCAGGAATTTAGTAAGCAATGTCCCCTGGGAAAAGGTTTTTGCAAGTGCTGGAGTCCATCAGCACTGCTCACTTTTCGAACATGGTCACCTCACAAACAGGGCAGAGACACCTCACAGACAAGGCAGAGGGGTTTAATGATTTTTTTGCCTCTGTCTTCAACACGGATGACAGACCAAGGGTGTCTCAGTGCCCTGAGCTGGAGGACCATGACTGCCAGAATGATCAACTCCCAGACGACCCTGAAACTGTGTGGGATCTGCTGCTCCAGCTGGATCCCTAACAATCTATGGGCCCTGGTGGGATTTATCCAAGAATCCTGAAAGAGCTGCTGATGTTGTTGCAAAACCTCTCTCGATGATTTTTTGATCAGTGTTGGGAATCCAGAGAGGTCCCAGCTGACTGGAAGTGGGCAAATGTTGCCCTGATTTTCAAATACAGCAAGAATCGGGACCCTGTGAACTACAGGCTGTCAGTCTCTCTTCAATGCCTGGTAAAGTTGTGGAGAGGATTGCTCTGGGAAGTATTGATAAACACCTGAAAGAGAATGCAGTCACTGGTCACAGCCAGCACAGCTTCACCAGGGGAAAGTCCTGCTGACCAAACCTGATTTCCTTTTAGGACAAGGTGGCCCACCTGGCTGATCAAGGGAAGCCAGCTGATGTGATCTTTTGGGATTTCAGTAAAGCTCTGGATACTGTCTGATACCAGCTGACTAGGAAAAGTTTGGCTTGAACGAAACCTCTCCCTCTACCTGAAATGGATAGTTTGAATTTAAGAAAAAAATGAATGAAAGAACAGAAGTCATGTGAAGGGCTAGATACATGGGAGATTTTTATACCACCCTTCAAAAGGCCAAAGAAAGGACTTCTCCCAAGATCCATATAAGCCTGTGCCCCAGGAGCCTGGAAGTTAAGTCAGAAAGGATACCTGTGTTGAAATCTTTCCTCTAATCCAATTAGACAACAATTCCTCTAATCCAATAGACAACTTACTCACCGGGCTACTCTGAGTAAGCACTTGCTCTGCTTTGTGAATTGCGTTGTGTAACATCTGAAGCGTGCCCAGAAACATCAGAATGATTAGCTTTGAAAATACGAAAACATAAACATTTTGAAACATTTTCCTCTACTTTTTGTGGATTTAACAACACACATTAAAAAAAAAATCAAAATAAAAAAAAATCAAAAATTCAGTTCAGACAGGCACAATGTTCCATTTTGGGCAAAGGGCCATTTATCAAAAACAATTCTCCCCAGACCTCCAAACCAATATACTTCTCAGGTGTCTTATGACCACATTAGGGCCAAGGCTGTAAAACAGCTGCAGGTTCCCAGTGATGCCCATTTTTCCCATCTAGAACAGTGTCTTACATTCCGAGGTGCTGGACGTTGTGGGCAGACTGACATCTTCTAGTCCTGGAATTTCTGAACACCCCTGATGAACCTTCTTGGTGAATTGGATTGGAGTAACCTCACCAAGCGTTTGTGTTTCCTGTCAGAATTTTGCACCCAGAAAAAGGATGAAGGGATTTTTTTTCTGGGACATTTTTACTTTTGCGGCGAATAATTTGCCAAGCGTAAATCAAACTACAAGTCCAACTTTGGAGTAGGTTAACATCTTTCCCACCAAATCCACAACACATTTGACATGAAGTTCAGCAAAATACTTCTAGGCATTCTTCCCATTAATGGGGTTCCCCCACAGACAGGAAAAATAGCTTATTTGAACCATTCCAACTCCGAGGTCCCCAGCTCTTCCTTTTTGTGTGCAGCGTGACATTAAAGAGAGTCTGCAGGAACTCCAGTCTTACTTTTCCCACCTCATCACCTGCTCCAACTTGTGTATTTTGCTAGTGCCACTTAGTTTTGAGACTAAACAGAGCAGTGATTGCATGCAGCTGCATGTTGGCATGAATAATGCTTTCAGCCTTTGAGCCCAGCATTGTCAGGGCTTTGCTCACCATCCTATGGATTTGTGTGTCATGCTTCATGTGGGTTTGCTCTCCTGAGTGCTGCAAGAAATCTGCTGAATGACATCTGTTTAATAATATTTTCGCTGGTTTTAAAAGCAAATAATTTTGTGAGGGAAGGCCTAAATTGCTCTGCAATTTTTTTATGCAGCACGGTCTGGGCTCTGAGATCCATCTACATTAAGTTAGTATTTATTTAGGTATGACAGTAATTGTATGGTAACTGAACATCTTAGATTTTTTTTCCCCCCCAAAGCAAAACATTGCTGCAAGCAACAGTCTAGATTTAGGTGAACTCATACTGTGACAAACTGAGAATGGAGAAAACACATTTCTTGTCCATAAAAGGGCAGCTCACACATCCACAGAGGGTAGCTCTGATTTTGCTGCAGTTCCAAACTATGAAGTGGGGAGTCAATCTTGCAAAAGACAGTTTTACTTATTGTGGATAGGGGGTTGTACAGTAAATTTTTTTCTTTTTTTTTTTCTTTGCCTTCTTAAACAGAAAATGGTTCATCCTTTTAAACAGAAAATGATGATTTCTCTTACTTATTTTTTTTTTAAAGTGTAAAATTTTCTGTTCAAGATGTCTGATATTTCCACAGTTTCTCCTGAGAAAAACACAGAGTACTCAGAGTGTCACCAGCAGGCCGAGGGAGGGGATCCTTCCCCTCAACTCAGCACTGGTGAGGGCCACATCTGGAGTGCTGTGTCCAGTTCTGGGCTCCCAGTAGAGGAGAGACATGGATATACAGGAGCTAGTCTATGAAAATTATTGAGGGATTAGGGCAACTGCCATATGAGGAGAGGCTGAGAGGGCCTGGGTTGTTCATGCTGGAGAAGAGAAGGCTCAGGGGGATCTTGCTGAAGTGTAGAAGTACCTGATGGGAGGCAGCAAAAGAGACGGGGCCAAGCTCTTCTTGGAGGTGTCCCATGAAAGGACAACGGGCAGTGGGAACAAATGAGATATAGGAAATACTGCTGAAACGTGGCAATTCTTTTCTTTTGAGTGCAAGGGTGGTCAAACACCAGGAACAGATTGCCTAGATGGGTTTGTGGAGTGCTCCATCCATGGAGATATTCAAAACCTGACTAGGCACAGCCCTGTGTGAGCTGCCCTGGCTGACACTGCTTTGAGCAGTGGGATTGGACTATAGGATGTCCTGAGGATCCTTTCAGCTCCATCTGTTCCATGGTCTGAGACTCTGTGCCCTCATCCCAGCGTGCTGGTGGTCTCTGACACGTGGTGGTTGTGGAGAATCAAACTCAAGACTGTTCTGAGTCACAGAAGTGCTCTGAAGTGAATTGTTTGCTTCCATTAGTATTTTACGTTGAAAATTGATTTCATTTAAGCGTAGGGGCTAATACAAAATAGACAGGTGTCCACAGGAAATAAAAGCACCTCCTTAGAAAGATGTGCATGGTTCTCAACTACACAAAAAACCCACAAAGGCTTAAAAGGAAATCACAAAGGAGCTTCTAGAATATGGTCAGAAGCTAGAATTAGAAGGACATCACAGGAATCTACATAGAGCAGTGGATGGCAAAGAAGCAGCACATTTTTACTTACAGTTTTCAAAATCTTCACTCTTTCAACAAAATTCTTCTGTATTGAGGGGGATGGGGAGAGGGGTGTCCTCCACCTGCCCTTGAATATTTCTAATTACTGCCAGTTTTGTTCCATTTTATGTAAGTATAATAAAGCAACTTCATTAAACAAAACAAAACAATGGGTTTCAACTCTGCAAGCAATCACTACAAAAAAGATCCATGGATCCACCTGAATTCCTCACTTTTATTACAGAGGCCTAGTTACTATTTTCTGAAGTTCAAAATACAAAAAACTCCATTTTGCTACTTGACTGCATGGTTTTTCTATAAGAATATTTTCCTTTATAGTACCCCAGAGAGAAAGAGAATGAAAAAAAAAACAAAACAAAACTCAGAAATGAGTTACACTCTTTATAAAGTGTAACAAATAATATCTTCAAAGAAACACACAGCCTGTATTTCTGTATCTATATATATCCATATCTATAAATTGCAGATGTTATAATAAAAATTCCCCATTTTCATGTTTACAGCCCCTAAAAAAGCTTCCCCCTTTAGTCGTTTTTATGTTGACTTTCTGTTTCTTTGCAGATCTTACAGGTGAACAAGGTGATGTCCATCTTGTTTTATGTGATATTTCTCGCTTACCTTCGTGGCATCCAGTCTACCAACATGGATCAAAGGAGTTTGCCGGAAGATTCGATAAATTCCCTTATTATCAAACTCATCCAGGCAGACATTTTAAAAAACAAGCTTTCCAAGCAGATGGTAGATATTAAGGAAAACTATCAAAACACGGCGCAGAAAGCAGGCGCTCAGCGAGACGCGGATGGGGGGGAAAACGTGAAATCAGACTTCCAGCCGGTTATCTCAGTGGATACAGATCTCTTGAGGCAGCAGAGACGCTACAACTCTCCCCGGGTCCTCCTGAGCGACAACACGCCGCTGGAGCCGCCGCCGCTGTACCTCATGGAGGATTACGTCGGGAACTCCGCGGCCAACAGGACCTCCCGCAGGAAGAGGTACGCGGAGCACAAGGGCCACCGAGGGGAATACTCCGTTTGCGACAGCGAGAGCTTGTGGGTGACGGACAAATCCTCTGCCATCGACATCAGGGGACACCAGGTAACTGTTCTGGGAGAAATCAAAACGGGCAACTCGCCGGTTAAGCAGTACTTTTACGAGACGAGGTGTAAAGAAGCCAAGCCCGTGAAAAACGGCTGCCGCGGCATCGACGACAAGCACTGGAACTCCCAATGCAAGACATCCCAAACTTATGTCAGAGCACTGACCTCAGAAAACAACAAACTGGTAGGCTGGAGATGGATAAGGATAGACACCTCCTGCGTGTGCGCGTTGTCGAGGAAAATAGGAAGAACATAAATCTGCATCTCTTTGCTATATAAATTATTACTTTAAATTATATGATATGCATGTAGCATATAAATGTTTATATTGTTTTATATATATTATAAGTTGACCTTATTTATTAAACTTCAGCAAATCTACAGTATATAAGCTTTCTCTCTCAATAAACAAGAGCAAAGGGTGTGTGCCTCTGCTGTGGGCAACTCCAGGTTTTTCTTAGACTATGTTTTGTGACACTGCTTGTCGGCAGCATACCGTAACCTTCCTGTAAAATCTGTGTAAAATCAGTATTTTTCATTCAGTATTGTCAAACCAGTGACTGTCATTTAGTAAACTTGTTAAAAATCAGATCAGTGCCAAGAGTTGTGTACATATTTATATTCCCTGCTCTATACATTCACATTTAATTGGATGCAGTGTTGACTCCTCACCGCCAAAGCAAAAATGGACCAAAATACGTGTTGTAGCCTGCAGATGATGTCAAATTTGCAGACATTAGGTAGCACTAAAATAAAGTTTCTGTGTATTATGCCAGTTTTGCCAGTGAAATTACCATTTTTCCTCTGTTAACATTTCAGGATGGCTGCTAATAATCCAGCAACTACCATTTATGTTTCTGAAGCACATTTGTTTTGCAACTGTTCCTAATGCTGCCAGTGCATCATTGAAAAAATATGAAAAAAAAAAAAATACTTGTAGCTGAAACTTACTGAAGCCAAGAACCAGTCTAAATGGATCATTAATATAATACGTGAAAGATGGTTTATTGTTATCAGCCTCCTCCTCCTCGTCCTCACACTAATCAATTATCTTCTGCTTGCATTGCTGGATCATTTCTCTCTGTCTGAGTTTTTAAATCAGAAACAAAGCTGGTGGTGTCTCAACCTTAAAAGAGCCCTTGGCTTGCAAATTGTAGAAAAGAAAGATGGGATATCCTGGCATGGATATCAAAGCCACGCACCCGTACGAAGCCCTTCTCCTCAGCAATCCATTCTCCATTTTTCACAGGGAGAAAAACGTTTAGAACTGCTGGAGAAACCCAGGACCTTTCATTGGAATGTGAAATGGATGGTGGCTAAAATCCACAGAGTCTGTAGTGATAACGAAGTTCCTCAATTAAACAGATTTGTTGCTTAGGACAGACAAATGTACTTGCAAATATATACCTCAAGCTCTTCTTTGGATTGTCACGTAGCTCCACTGGGGACAGGAATAATGGCACTACTTGAAGAGATGGGCTATTACAGGTTAGCTGTGTAATGCCCTGGATGGGATCCCACTCCCACAAAACAAATGAGGGTCCATGGTTATCAGCAGAATTAAGATTGGCCTGAATGTCATCTGTGTCCAGACAGATCTGTCACCCAGGCAGGGCTGGAAAGCACCAGCCACTCAAACAGCTTTCCAGCCGTGGCGTCTGAGGGCTTTACGCTCCGGCTTTCACCGCGTGTTCAGCATCACAAGTGAAAACGAGGTCGGGGCACTCGAACCCGAGCTTGCAGGACTCTTTTGTTCATCCAGCTTTCACTCCTGGAAAACCAGCCTCGAATCTGCAGCGGGCCATGACAGGCAGCAAACTGTGTGGTCTCCCCTAATCCCTCACAGAGAGAGCTGCATGCCGTAAAACCACCAGAGAGCCGGACAGGTTGCCCAGGAGGCCGAGCACTGGAATAGCCAGGCTGGAGCATGGAGGTGGTGTTTCTGCAGGGGAGGCCACAAGCAAGGTTTCTGAGAGCCATCTCAATTCTCAACATGAGGGCAGGGAATTTACCTCCCAGGAAATATCGTCACCTGGCAGTACCAAACCCTTCCTTTGCTTCAGGCAATAAGAACTTCAGAGGTTCCATACTAAGGCAGTTCTTAAAATGAAAGAGAGGAACTCAGTATCTGATAGATCTGACTAGAATATTTCCAGTTTTCTCATTCCCTGGCAGACATTTTAAAAAAAAAAAAAAAAAAAAAATCCCCCACAGAGCTTTTGCTAGTTTTACTAGTAGGAAAGCTTAAATTTCAACTAAAATTTTTTGGCTTGGGGGTAAAAGCATATTTTTCAGAGTCCTGCCCCGCTGGATTTTTTTTACAAGTTAAAGGCTTAATTTTACACCCTGAATTCCCAAGTAAAAATCATTTGCAGATGCTGGGAGTAATTGAGAGCTGATATTGTCAAGTTTAGAAATCTTGTTTCACCATGCCAGACAGGTCTATCTCCATGTGAGAAGAGGAGGTAAGAAGACCAACTTAACTTGGCTAAATCCTATCAATCAGAAACTACCTTGTTCCTGCAGTGAGGATGCCACTTTTATTTATATCACTGTAAATCCAGAGAAACTCTTTTAAAGACAGGGGAGAAAATGTAGCTTTATAGCAATGTAAACAACATCAGAGTTGATCCTAATGCCTTTATTTCTTCTCACTGAAAATCAAGGGAGTTTCATTCTTTAAAGGTTCAAAGAAATCCAGTTCTTGTTTTCCACTGTAGATCCAGTAACAGGAACTGGTCTTTGACTCTTAACTCTAACACAAGCAGCCAGCAGAAATGCCTCAGAGTAAATGCTCCTGTCATCTGAAACACATGAAATGAGAAAGAAGGGTGGTTAGATCGGCTGCCTCTTTCCCACCCCAGGAAAACAATGATCGGAAGTGTTACCCTCTGGATCTGGTCCGGCTTCCACTAAAGTCCATGGAAAAAAAAAAAAAAGGAAAAATAATAATAATTAAAAAAAAGTATCTCACCTTCACCAGGGGAAGCTGGATCAGGCCTCAGGCGAAGAAAAACCTGCAGATCTCGACCGGAGAGCAGAGCAATCCCACACATCAGTAACGCGTTCCTGTAAATCCTGTGTACGTCATAAGATGCTGTATAATTTTGTAACAAGTTTGTAAACAAAGCCTGTAATAAATTTGTTAAGGTCTGATTCTGCTTCCACTGTAGCCGGGGATGGTTTTATTGTCAGCTTTGGTCATGGCACAGTGAATTTAAAAATTCCTATCCAACTAAATTTTTTTTTTTGTATGTGTTAAGTAAATAAGCAAAATATTCAACTTGCAAAGCTGGTTTAATTTAAGCATTCTAAAAATCACTTCCATTAGGCAGCTCAGATGCTCTGTCAATATTGTTTTGCCAATGGATCATTATAAACACACATTTTATTTAGATTTTCTCCCAGATGACCAAATGCTGTTCTGAAATTGCCTGTTTGTGTCAAACTGTATTTTCTCCCTTGTTTTTTTTTGTTTTTGTTTTTTTTTTTTTCCCCTCCCTAGTTTTTTTACAGTCCATTTAGTAACAGCAAAAAATGCTCCGCTGAGGTTTTGGGAAACCATCTGCATTTATTTTATCACCTTTGAACATGTGTTCAGGAATGAAGTCTGTGCAGCGAGTTTACTGCTACCAAGAGATTTGTGCGGCTGCACCAGGAAGAAACTTTGACTGGACTTGTGTGCTCAAAAACCACTCTCCTCATACTCTGTTATTTCCATCCTTTAGCAACCCGAGTCCTTCTCTCCGCTGCACGTTGCGTATCTGCAGACAATACCAAACAGGAAACGAGCCTGATTGGGAGTTTCCAAATTAAAAAAAAAAAAAAATTAATGACAATGACCTGCTGGTTTCTGACCTCTCAGCGATGTAAGAGCTCAGGACCATTCATTTCATTTAACAGAAACGTTGTGGCAAAAAAATCAGCGGGATTCTGCGTTCTCCACACTTGGTGAGCGTGTGTAATTCATCGTGCATGTGGGGCAGGGGGAGGAGGAAGAGGAGGAGGAGGATAGGATAATAAGCACTGCAGCTTGTGAGAAATAAAAAGGCTGTTCTCCGGGTTTGGAGCATTTTAAAGTGTGGAGAGGTTGTTCCCCTGAAATGCTTTGTCTGTATTTTGTTACAGCAGATGGCAGAATGACGAAGCAAGCGCAGATGTGGTGTAAAAAAAAACCTAAGCAATACAAGGATAACAAAAAACTTTCCCGGGAAAGTTGGCCATTCGCTACCACCGTGGGTCCATGCAGCTCTGTGCAGGTTTATTGCAGAGCTCAGTGATGACATTCCTAGTTTAATCATGTAACTAACCTCTATGGCAAAAAAAGAGAAGTATTTTCTCCTGAAATTTATTACATTCATGAGCTGGATAATTTTCTTTCCTTTATTTTTTGAGGGGTTTCTTTTGTGGGTTTTTTGTTTGTTTGTTGGTTGGTTGGTTTGTTTTTTGTTGTTGTTTTGGGGTTTTTGTTTGATCGGTTTTGTTTGCTTAGGTTGGGTTTGTTTTTTTGGGTTTTTTTTGGAGGAGGGGTTGCTGGTTTTTGTTGTAATCTCTAATTGTCTTGACACCTCTGATGAACAGCAAAAGGCAGTGCTTTGCATGAACGTGCCCAGATATCGATTTCTCCTTTGTTTCAGTGGTGACCTTTGCAGGCAGCAAAGCCATACTTTCGCTACGGAACTGGCCTTTTGATGTCATGGCCTCATGTTTCCGGACATTTTGATCACAGGGTCCTATTTTGGAGCTCTTACCCACACAACTGGGTGAGATCATGGCCAGGCTGCTCTCAATCATGGCTGAGAAGTGTCTGTGCCCACAAAGCCAAGGAGCAAAGCGAGGGTGGGGCAGCCCTGGGCCATCCTCACGTCCACCTTCACACAGCTTTCGTTTTTGAGCTGAAAGTTGCACAATCAAGGGCTGCTGATCAGGGCTTGCTTTCTGCATGCCCAAGGGTTCAGATGCCTGGTAGATCACAGAATGCTTTGAGTTGGAAGGGACCCAAAGATCATCTCATTCCAGGGACGATCTTGGACAAAGGACAGTTTCTCAGTTCACAGTTTTTGCCTGCCCAGGAACATGCCTTATGTGAATCTGGATAGACCTTCTGTAAAAGGGTTCTGTGGCTGCAGCAGGTCGATTGGCCCTCTCTAAAACACAGCACTTTGTGACTCTTTAGCTGTGTCAGAGGGAGGAGAGAGAATCATTGACAGACCATCTCTGTTATCTGTACATTATATTGACACCATCTGACAGAAAACATCAGTGCATCCAGGGGAGGCTCCCAAGGAAGAAGATAGGATGTTCCTTTCCTCTAAGCAAAAATATTTCCATGGAGGGTGTGAAAAAAGGAAAGTAAGTGCAGAAAA